GAATTATTAGCTTCCATCCCTAAAGTACACAACATAATCTTACCCTTCTTCATAATGCACAAAATGAAAGATTTTTATAAACACAGGACACAAAGCCCAACATCTCCATTCACACTCAAAGCAGCTTAAAGGCCCAGATATAACACTTGTTCATCAAAATATCAAAGAACAAAAAGCCCATGCTCTGAGATGGAACAGAGACTGGATCAGTGTAACATCCTCTCATGACATGGAAGAAGAGGAGGGAGACTGCACCCATCGGAACGTGGCAGCAGCAAGGTTCCACTGGGGGATGTTTTGAGGAAGAGCTCCCTTTAACTGAGGATGTTTTCCCCCTAATTAGGTCAGATTCTGATCCTAAATGAAGTCCCTAGACCAGATCCTTGGATGGTCCTTATCTTGCTGGGCCTCCTCTGCAGGAGCATTAGAGGCTACAGCTCTTTTGAGGGTTGTACCATCTGTGTATCATCCGAGGAGGTGCGGTGCACAATATATTGTTTTTATCCAAAGTTCCTTTTAGTTAAAGCATGTGCATATTCTGGTAATCACACACATATATACCAACAAAGGAAAACACACACAATTAAAGACCAATTAACCTATGATTACATCTCTTTCCAGGTGCAATTAGCCCAGACCCCAATTCATTATGCCTAATTTTTCTGTCTCTCATCTTAATTGAGATATCTTGAGCTTACCAGCTGTGGCAAAAGTATGCCCCATTTTTTTTTGATGACAGTTTATAGGAATGCTGTCTTAAATAATAAAGGGATGATTTATTGGTAGAATTTTTTTAATTGAAGTATAGCTGATTTACAAAGTTGTTAGTTACAGGTGTACAGCAAACTGATTCAGTTATATGTAGATATATACACATGCTCTTTTTCAAATTCTTTTCCATTATAGGTTGTTAAAAGATATTGAATATAGTTCCCAGTACTATATAGTAGGTCCTTGTCGTTTATCTGTTTTATGTATAGTATTGTGTATATGTCAACCCCAAACTCCCAATTTATCCCTCCCCCACCTTTACCCTTTGATAACAATAAGTTTTTCTTTTTTTGTATATATTTTATTGAAGTATAGTCAGTTTAAAATGTTGTGTTGATTTCTGGTGTACAGCACAATGCTTCAGTCATACATGAACATACATATATTCATTTTCATATTTTTTTTACCATGAGCTACTTCAAGGTATCAAATATAGTTCCCTGTGCTATACAGTATAAACTTGTTTATCTATTTTATATATACCAGTCAGCATCTGCAAATCTCAAACTCCTAATTTATCCCTTCTTACCCCCTTCCCTACTGGTAACCATAAGTTTGTTTTCTATGTCTCTGAGTCTGTTTCTGTTTTGTAAATAAGTTCGTGTCTTCTTTGTAGATACTACATATAAGTGATATCATATGATATTTGTCTTTCTCTGTCTAAATTACTTCACTTAATATGATAATCTCTAGGTCTACCCATGTTGCTGCAAATGGCATTATCTCATTCTTTTTATTGCTGAGTAATATTCCATTGTACATACAACACATCTTCTTTAACCATTCCTGTCAATGGACTTTGTCAATAGGTTGCTTCCATGTTTTGGCTATTTTAAATAGTGCTGCTATTAACATGTATCTTTTTGAATTAGAGTTTTCTCCAGATATATACCCAAGAGTGGGATTGCTGGATCTGTGGCAACTCTATTTTTAGTTTTTTAAGGAACCGCCATACTGTTCTCCATAGTGACTACACCAATTTACATTCCCATCAACAGTGTAGGAGGATTCCCTTTTATCCACACCCTTCCCAGTATTTATTATTTTCAGACTTTTTGATGGTGGCCATTCTGACCAGTGTGAGATGATATCTCATTGTAGTTTTGATTTGCATTTCTCTAATAATTAGGATATTGAGCATCTTTTCTTATGCCTGTTGGTCATCTGTGTGTCTTCTTTATTGGTAGAAGTTTTAATGCAATCATTGCTGTAAACCAAAGGTGTTAAGCCATAACCCAGGTTTGATTTTTGCTTTTTCTAACCACGTGTACACTTTTTGTTAGAAAGCATGTCTCCAAGTTTGTGTTTACTCATGTAAATGAATGAGTCTGCCTGTGTACCTTACCTTGCAGTTCATACATTCTTTCTATCCCCTTCCCTTCTTCCTGTTAAGGAACACATTCCTTTCAGAGCTCATTTCTTTCTAGATGTTCCCAAGGCAATAGTGGCCAAGAATGCATGAGTCTTGATAGGGATATTCTGTAGTCTTTAGGTCAAAGTATTAAGAGTGTCTCATTTTCTGCCTTTAGGTTTTTCACAACTGACAGATTTACCCAGAAAATTTATAGCTTCATAACATGAGTGGCCATCTTTCTAGGATTTCATACATTTTTCCATCATCCATGGACAGTCTCCATGACAAATCCACATACATACTTTTGTCTTGTTAATGTCATCACTTCAAATAAACAATTTGATAATTGTATCAGATGATTGCATTCAACCAGAAAAGCAGAATCCGTATACACGTAGAGATTTATTGCAAGGAATTGGCTTATGTAACTGCAAAGACTGGCTAAGCAAGTCCAAAATCCATAGGGCAGAGTGGAACTCTTGGGCATGAGCTGAAGCACCTGTCAACAGGCAGAACTTCTTCCTCTCAGGGAAGGACTCTGTTCTTTTGGCTTTTCATTTGATTGACTCAGGTCCACCCAGATTATATATGATTATCTCCCTTAGTCAAGTGATTATCAACTTTCATCACATCTACAAAATAACTTCACAGAAACACCTAGATAACTGAATTACTAGGGTCTGTAGCCTAGACACATTGACACAAAACTGACCATCTCTGTCCACACCTTGTCAACTTGGAAACCATACACATCTCCTGAAACATAAATAATTTTCAAAGAAGGTTAGTAACAAAGTGTTATTTCTGCCTAATGTGGTACAACCATCCTGCCTACAGTAGAAATATGTTAATCATTTCCCCTAAAGAGAATGCAACATCCTTGGGAGATGTGAATCCTTTTCTTTTGATGCCCCTTAAATACAGTGATTTAAGGTTAACTAATATTAATACATCTTATATTAGATTGTTAGAGACTAAAAGCAGGAAGAAAACAAAATATTTTGTTAATATTTATACAAACATTCATAACACAATTCTTATAATTAGCATGTCCTTGTTTCTACAAATGATCACATGGTAATAGCTGGTATTTTTAACTATTTTTTTCCACTATCAGTTCTTATTTCCTTTGCCCTTAGCAACTACATCATATGGCGTTAGTTCTTTGCCTTACCAGTGACCCATATATATATATATATATATTTACACACAAACATATATCTGTAAGAGTCTATTCTTATAGTACACCTCCAGTACCAACATCTGTATCATTTAGTGTTAAACCAGAGAAATAGAATCAGTATTGTCCTGAATTCAAGTCATATAAGGAACTAGTGAAATTATATACATACTTGCGTGTGCACACACACATACACACATAAAGACATTTATTAAATGTAACTGGCTTATACAGTTGTCTGGGCTGGCTAGGCAAGAATGAGATTTCTACGGCAGACTCTTTGGAAGGGCATGCTGAACCTCTGGCAGGAGAGGAAGCTGCTGTCCACAAGTGTGATTTCTTTTCCTTCAGGAATGCACCCAGCTTTGCTCTTAAGACTTCTCGCTGATTGCATCAGACCCACCCAGATTATTGAGGATAATCTCCTTCATTTAAATCCAACTGATTATATAATCCAATCGATCTATAGAGTATCTTCACAGCAACACGTAGATTAGTGGGGTTTTTTGGAATAACTGTGGAGTATAAGAGACTAGCCAAGATAATACATAAACCCTACTATTAATAATGGAAAGAAATGTGTTTCAGTAAGAGCTGAGGAAAACAGGAAAAACACAAAGTATACAGGAATATCCATATAATATTAAAATAATATCATCAAGCCAAAATAAGAGACAAGAGTACTAAAACATTACAGAGAACAAATCACGCATATACATATGTATTATGTAAACCAGAAAGCACAGATTGTAAGTCATATTTAGAAAGATGTTATGATAGATGTAAAATTAGAATCTGGTAGAATCTGTACTTCCTCTTAATCTGGTTACTTTATGTTTCTTCCTAAAAGTGTTAAAATATTTAATAAAGAGATTAAAATAAGAGGGTATTTAAGAAATGGGTGGGTCACCCTGGGTGTTTATAAATCTTGTGTCTTGGGGGAACTGCTCAGTTGTCCACTCATCTCTGAAGAATCCCAGATACCTCTTCCCTAGATGGATGTGAACAGCACTGCAAGTGGTAAATTCCCATCTGCTTTTTGCTCTCTTCATTGATAATGGCACACGCTTGATTTTCCAGGGTTTATAAAAAGTAAAGTCACACAATTACTATTAGAGGAATAGAGTCTTGAAGCAGGGTCTGTTTTGCAGTGAGAAGTTGTGTCAGGGGATTAATGGGTGCTTTAAGTTGGAAACTGGAATTTCAAATTTAAGAGACAGCCATGAGTACCATACATGGGCTGTCAGAAGTTTTAAAGTTAACACTTAAAAAGAGAAATATATGGAATATATAATATTTTGTATTTATTTTATATATAATAATTTAATATTTTTGTTTTTTAATTATTTTTATCACAAAATACCAGTTATTTGTGTTTTATTTACTCTCTTAATGGTTTTCATATTTTACATGTTTCATTTATTTCCATTTATTTTCCTAACTCCTATTTCCTTTGCATGCAATCTTGTGGATTTTTAGTAACTTCTTCCTTTGGTAACTCAAATCACATATTGTTAATTTTTTTCTATTATATATATAATATATATATACATATATTTGAGGTATATGTCTCCTATTTAGAATGACTTTAACTATATCCCTAAAGTAAAAATATAGAACAATCATTGGACTTCTTACAGGCTTTCAATCTGAAACATAAGATATATGTTCATACACAGTTTTTAATCCATAAATATATCCATCGTATTTCTCCCCATTTTCTCTTTATCAGACATACTACAAAAAGAAACCTGGCATGGCAGGACTGTTCACAACCAGAGTCAAAAGAATATCCTCCAAGCACGGTTTGAACACGATCCTTACCCTGTTAAAGCGACCAGAAAACAACTGGCCAAGGAAATTGGCATTCCAGAATCTAAAATTCAGGTATCATGTTTTTTCCCATTATCTGTCAGGTTCAAGGTAGAGAGAAATGTGCTGAGCACTGGCAAGCAATTCTTATGTCAAGTATGTTTCCCAAAAGGTTTCTCCTGTTAGATAATATTAAAAACAAAATAAAAACAAAGATTACCTCTTTTACCAAAGGTAGAAACCTTTGTTACTTCTTTTACCAATTGGTTGGGTGTATGGAGGAAAGGAGAATATAATGGCTTAGGCTTTCCCAATAGGAGATGATTAAATCAACTCTGGAGATTTAGAGGATATAGGAAATTGGATCACTATGATAATGATATGGTATCATTAAGCATTGGAATAATGTACTACAGGATAATGATTAATATGTAATTATGAGGAGATTGTGGGGTAAGGACTCATGTAAATTTCCAATTCTCCAGGTAGTTTTTTCTCTTTTCTAACTAATGTCTGAAATGTGATTCATAAACAGGAGCATATAAAATAAAATCCCACATTGTATTATTTTGAATAGAACTACTGGTGCAAAAATAAGTTTAATTTCTTCAGTTAGCAAAGAGATAGCTGTAATAACACAATTATACCACCTGAAAAAGTATTGAAACCAATCAAGGTCAATAAAAATGTGCTTTTAGAGGAAAGTAGTGAGTTCAGATTTTTGAGTCAAAAATAGTTTCCTATTATAGTCACTGGCTATAAGGGCATTAGTCTGAGAGGACGCTGGGAAGAAGAAATTTCCCTTTTCTTTTAATGTATTTGTTTAGGTGTAGGAGATGGAGTTTTTCCAAATCCCAGTAATAAAGTGCACTTTGGAGAGTATCTAGTGATTGGATGCATGAGAGGTTCTAGGCCCGCTGGAACTGACATGGAGGATAGCAAGTCCAGGAAACCATGTAGCATGAAGTTGGTTCTGCCACTGTGTTCACTAACTTACTGATTAGTTTCCAGTTTCCACTTGTGCTTAAGACTTATTACTGGAAAATATTTTGATGAACTAATTTAAAGAACAGGTATAACCTTTAGAACAATTCCTGGGATATGACTGGTTCATCAGATACTGGTTATCAGTGACACCCTAAGTCTTATCATGAATTATCAAATTATCAAAATGAAACATTCAAATAATTAGAAAGCTCATTGCGATGCCGACACCAGTAGTGAGGAAAAAAGCAGAGTACAACTGGTTATATCAGTGATAATAGTTTTAAAACAAGATGGACAGGATCCCTAGGAGTCTCATTCTCTATTCCTGGCTATGGGATGAGTAAGTAAGAGAATTTAGTACAGCTCTTGATGGTGGCTAATTCTACTGCCCTACACAAAGAAATTCTTTTCTAAGATCAATTCCATATGTATTGTGTATTATGAAATGGTATTTCTTATGAAGAGATGATGCTACATGAAGGAGAGAGAGAAAGATTGATTTCCTTTGAGAGAACTAACAGTGTTTCTTAAATCAGGGAAATTTACTTTGGATACCCTGAGGATGACCATACAAGAAATGCTAATTTGAGTTGAGAGCAGATTGCGTGCTGTCCCAAATAGCATGCTAATAATAACATCATTCCTAGGATAATACATCGCCTTTCTCTTAGGGAGATTATCCCAAGAGCAGTTGATCAAGTTAGTTTCGTTTAATTGCATTGATATTTGGAATGACACAGACTGAGTTATACATCTTCTTTTTCCCAGATTTGGTTTAAAAACCACAGAGCAAAACAGAGACAGGGGTTCAGCTGCTCCTCAGGAAAAGACCAAACCCATGGACAGAACGAGCCTCAGTCTTGTACTCAAGTTAAGAACCCACCAGTCCAAATGCAGTTCGTCAGGGGGTCCCATTGAAAGGGGAATCAATTCTGCATGTAGTGCCCAAATTCTCCACAAAGAATCCTTAGCTTTGGAGCAGTTACAGCTTGTTCTGGGTAACCTAGGGCCAGCAGTATAAGCATGGTCCAACAGTTGGCTGGGACAGATAGGTTCTGAGCAAGCAAGGCTTTGGGCTTTTTGGTTCTGCTGCTCTAAGCAGGGTAACATCTTCCTCATCTGTCATCTCAGGGTATTCAGAGAGAGTAAGAGCTCAGCATTATCTTCTCAAGTTTGAGTTTCCAGCTTGAATGCAGGAACTGTTCTAAAAACCCCCTTTTGTCCCTGCGTTCTCCTTTAGAATACTTACCAAAAGGAGCCAGACAAAACCTGAGATCTGCCCCAAGATCTCAATCAAACATCCTAGTTTAAGCCTTTGAGAAGGACCGATTTCTTGATATTGCAACCAGGAAAAAACTAGCCAAACAAACAGGCATTCCGGAGTCAAGAATTCAAGTAAGTTTTATGTCTATGGCAGCAGCTATCTTTCCCTGTTAAACGATGTTACCCTCTAAATGGTTGCTGGAAAACCTTGACTACAGTAATCAAGGACAAAGGTATGGGATAGTAAACACCTGGCATTGCAAGTCACATTCCTGCAAACAGAAGAATTTTCTAATCAAATTGTCAGTGATGCATCTATTCAGAAATCACCAACAGCAAAGAAATGTGAAAGTTAATGTTAACTTTGAGGACACTCTGTCAGGTTTTCTATTGCTTGGCACCATTGTCACTTTGCGCCAAATAATTCTTTCCTGGGAGAGGCAGTCCATGCCTGGTAGAATGTTTTTCAGTACTCCTGGCCTCTGCCAACTAGATATCCTGCCCACCTCTCCTTCCTCAACTTGTAACACCCCCCAAAAATCTACAGGCATAGTTAAATTGGGGAACAAAATCACCCTCAGTCAGTACCTTCTTCTACCTAAGTTGTGGGACTAGTGGTCTAGTATATGTTCAATGCTCATGACTAGGAAGCACGTTCATAGATTTATCAGCGTTTATTTATTAACCTTCATTCAGATTTATAAGACATGTATTCCTGTGCACACATGGACAAAGAGGACCGAAGTATACATACACACATATTTATGAATACACATATACATGTGTACACACACATATACATACATGTACACAGATACTGAATATATGAACCAGGACCTGTATCTTGAGATTAGGGCCTATATAAAAGGCCCTGTGCTTTACACAATATGAAAACAGAGCTTATGTCTTATGTCCACATCTCTCTTTCATACAGATGTGGTTTCAGGACCGAAGATCTCTGTACCCTAGGCAGAGCACAAGTGAGCCTGTGAATTCCTTGGTAGATGTTCCAAATGGCAGACCCGGTCTGACAGTTTAGCAGCACAAACTCAACCTGCCCACTCTCCCAGGCAGAGCTCATCATTTTCCTTTCTCTAGTTCTTTCAGCAGGAACCACTCATTTCTACTTGCTCTTCTCCCATCCCGTGTCCTCTGTCCCTTCTATGATCCAAGGACAAAGTGTCATGATGCAGCCCACGCAGGCTGTGCAGGGAGGAGAGAACACTCCCTCCACTCTAACATTTGGGAATTACATGCCGATACTGCTGACTATGGGAGAAGACCCAGAAGCTCAGCATCCCTTTTGGCCCCAGTACCAAGAAAAATGCCAGGACCACCAAGAACAGACTGACGTGGGAGTACTGCAGTTGAAAGACTACTTTCAGCCTTATCCTGAGCACAAAAACCAACCACCGCAGGATCAGGGCCAGGTGGACATCGCTTATATTCTGCAGTGGTGGGATGAGAGCTGCGAGGCTGACTGCAGAATGGGATCCTCGAAAAGGGACACACTGAGACAGACCGGTGGCCGCAGCACAGTCAGCTGGAGAACCATCTCATGCCCTCCGCCAACCACACCAGCAATATATATAAACCTCAAGAAGCCTTTAGGGTCAACTCCTGCCATCCACAGATTGTCAGTAAAAGGTGCAAACTTTTTTGAATTCTGACCCACAGGAAGAGGGCCCTCCAGAGCCCCAACTGTGCCTCAGTGAGGAAGATTTTTAGGCTCTTCTCCACGTGCTGTGAAGCTCACCAGGGCCTGAGCTTCCAGAGGAAAATGGCATTCTTAGAAACTGGTCCAGATTTCCTTTCTTCCAGTGCAGATCAGAGCAACTTAAAGGGCAATGAACAAGGAAGTCATCATGGCAGGGACAAAACTAATGCAGGGGGAAGGAGAAACCACTTGGAAACCCAAATGGAGGTTTTTACTCTGTCCTGTGGGCAGTGGTTATCTTCTGTACATACTTCACTAAGTAAAGGATTGTTTCCACACTCCGCACTGCCTCTGGAAGCATCAAGGACACCAGGCGGTGGACACATCTGCCAAATTTTTGTGGAAAAAAAGTATTTTACTGAAAAATATGACCTCCCCTCTGTAATCACCACATCATCCAATGCTTGGAAAATCCACAAATTGTAACCTAACTCAGCGAGAATAGGTCTCTGAGGGATACATCAGAGCTTCTTTTCCTCCTGGCAACATGAGAAGGCAAACTTGAAATTAGTTTGTCGTGCAAAAAATGAAGGGGTGCTGTATTTCCCAAAGATGTGAGTTCATAAAAGTGAGCTTGTCACTGAAGTTCTGGAGGTTTAAATTGGGAACTGGGTACTACCTCAGTATCCCTCATTAAGGGAATAATTAAATGGATTAGGACAAATCCATAATTCTGAGTAACCTTCACTTAGAAATGTATTTTTACTTTGACTATTTAAAACATACAAAAATTACAAGGAAATTATAATAGCAACACCATATAATCACTGAACATAGTCTAATGATATTATTTCCACTTTTTTAGGCTTTTCTTATGTTTGCATATATGGACATATATGTCCATAAAATTCCTTTTACTATAGACAAATTATATGTTAATCTAAAACTTGGGATAACCATTCTCATTCTCAGTTTTCTCCCTTTTTTTGAAATGGTAATTTCTAAAAATAGATTTTGGTGTATGAAGGTGCATATGGTTTACCTTGGCAATAAAAATGTCTTAAAATATCAACTTTTTTTCATTATTTATCAATTTGCTTTGTTTTGTCATATTTGCTTTATTTACTTTCCTTGTGAAGGTGTTGGAATGCGGTCAGAACACATATATCTAGATCTACAAAGACACCAGTTTTGTACAAATATAGTCATGAGGTGGACATCCTTACTGGTATCTGGGTGCACTGTGTGCAAGAGTTTTCTAGGTGTTTATACACTGAAGCATATGTGCCAGAATACCCCAACATCAGCATTTATGGCCAAATTACACTCAGCACAAGCTATTTTTCCTAATATGAACTGTATCTTCATTAATCACTTAGGGAATTAAAACTTACATGCATATGTGCACGTATTAGCAGTACAAATCTATCCAAAACCTGATATAATTACCTGACCGTGTTGATACCATGCCTTGTTTGATTTTCAAATTGTTCCCCCAGATGAGTCAAATGTGCAGGCAGAGATGAGAGCTCCTAGTATCACTAGTCACTTTCCTGTACTTCAAATGCATATTTTGAAAGAGTTCTCAAGTTATGAATATAAGTCTGATTATCTGTGAAGGGAAAACTATACATGTGTCTACAATCTACTTCTGCACTGATATGTACATCTGTACCTCCATCTTCATTTATACATATAGGTCTATGTGAATATGTATCTACTGCTCATCTACCTCTTCAGCTCCCCTCCGCACTCTCCTCTATTCTTATCTGTATTATCTACATGTCTACCTACAACCTCTGGAGGGAGACAGATAGGATGACCTTCTCTAGAGAAAAAGGTAAAATTTGCTTCTGAAGCAAGCAATGGGATTAAGTCTCTGGAGAAAAAGGTAAGGATCAGTGTCTGACCAAGGGAGCCATGTTGACCAGTTCAGAATCTCCTTTGAGTCCGATATCCCTTTCTTTAGCTGGGTGATCTGATGTCCTATTCTTAAACCAGACTGAGCTGATTATGGATGTGCACTGGGCTTCGTAGCCTATGGCAGCCTTCAAGGCTGCCATGGTTGAGGCCTCCACAGCCTGAAAGCAGGGCTGAGAGCACGGATCCTGGAGAGTTTGGTGCAGGGTGGCAAGACTAGTGGATCTTGCTTGGTGTCCAGGGCTGGAGCATCTGACTGCCCTGTCCCAGCAGTGCCTCTGCTGAAAGGCATCTGCCCTCTTCCTGGAGGCCCCTTGGGTACCAACAAGCTGGTCCCTTAGTTCTCAGACCCTCTCAGGGATAAAAATCTTGGATTTGAGAAGCCATAGATTAGGTTATGCATCTCACAGGTCAGTCCTGGTCCAGGCTGTGTACATTGTCTGGTACTGTTTGGTGACGGCCAATCAAATGGGGACACTCCACCTCTGGAGCAAAAATCACTATCCTCTGGAGGGGGAATTGGGAATTTAGTCACTAGAAGCATAGGATATTTTTAAATTGAGATAATTCATATATCATGAAATTCACCTATTTAAAATGTAAAATTCACAGATGGCCAACAAGCACATGAGAAGATGTTCAACATCACTAATTGTTAGAGAAATGCAAATCAAAACTACAATGAGATATCACCTCACACCAGCCAGAATGGCCATCATTAAAATGTCTACAAACAGTAAATGCTGGAGAGGGTGTGGAGAAAAAGGAACCCTCCTACATTGTTGGTGGGAATGTAAATTGGTGCAGCCACTATCGAGGACAGTATGGAGGTTCCTCAGAGAACTAAAAGTAGACTTACCATATGATCCAGCAATCCCATTCCTGGGCATATACTTGGAGAAAAATATAATTCAAAAAGACACATGCACCCCAATGTTCACAGCAACACTATTTACAATAGCCAAGACATGGAAACAACCCAAATATCCATCAACAGATGACTGGATAAAGAAGATGTGACATATACATATAATGGAATTCTACTCAGCCATAAAAAAGAAAAATAATGCCATTTTCAGCAACGTGGATGGACCTGGAGATTGTCATCCTAAGTGAAGCCAGAAAGAGAAAGAAAAATGCCATATGATATTGCTTATATGTGGAATCTTTAAGAAAAAAAAGTACACAAATCAACTATTATTTATAACAGATGACTGATTTCTTAAATATGTGTAAACACATTTGACTGTCCTTTATGATTGGATTACTGCATTTTGTTGATTCTTATTTTGTGGTTGGCTTTATTCCTTTGATAACTATTTAAGTTTAAAAAGCTAAAGCTCTGAACTGTTCTTAGAAACAATGAATAGTATGTATACATAAATTTTAAAAAAAATACATGCAGTAAATTGTATACATGTATTTAAATGCAATATATTGTATATGTGCAGATTGTATCAATTTTACCTAATAAAACTGAAAAATGAAAAAAATAAAAAACAATAATAAATGAATAAAATGTAAAATTCAGTGGTTTTTTAGTATATTCTCAATCACTGCTACATAGTTCCAGAATATATTGATCACTACAAAAACAAACCCTAGTCATTAGCAGCCATTCAAAGATGCTTTGCACCCCCTCATCCGCCAGAGAGAACCTCCTTCCATAGAAATGTCCCACATAAAACTTCTGTCAGGCATACAAGAATTTTAACATGTTCAGACATTAATATAATCATCAAATCCTCAGAACTATCATTGGTGAGGAAAAAAACTTGAAAACTATCTTGCCCAAAAGAATATTTCATGGAAATCATAATGAATTGAATTCTGCCTCACCCCTCTACCCAAACCAGGTATCATACTCTAAAGAATCTTATTATCATTTACTATTATTATTAAGAAGTGACCTGAGTTTAGCTATGAAAATAAAATCTCAATATCGATTAAGTCACGTAAATCCATTAAAATTATCTGCTGACAAACAGGACTTGGAAGATGATAGATATTATTAATATTTTCATTAATAACACTAGAAACTTATTTCATTAAAAATATTCATAGGTTCCTTAATTATCCTAGCACAGAAATCTTGTGAAATGAAATCTATGCCAAGAAATACATACATTATCAACACATTTATCAAGAGTAAATCAATATCTTAATTAGAAAAATTTAACTCATTAAGAAATATTTCAACCAGCACATAAGAGATTCCATCAATATTACTCCCTGAATAAATGGATTTTAATTTCAAAAGCACTTTAACGTATGCGCTTCTCACTGAAATCCTTCTACGTAAAATGTTGTCAAAAATAAGAAATTAACAAAGTAAGGGGTTTATTGTTCTTATATTATCCTTGATATTATTATGAAATTTTAAAGAACTATTCTATCATTATTAAAGAAACACAACTCATAGCCATGTATTTGGCGGCTGTCCCTTACAGAAATCCCCCTACATAAAATGCCTCCTCCACATATACACATATGTAAAGAGTAACAGAGTATCTTTATATATTATCATTATCATTATTAATATCAAGGTGTTTAAGATAAATCTCCAAACATCTTAACTGGCTGCACCTTTCACCAAAACTCCTACAAAATATCTTGTTGGGGAAGGGGTGGTGGTTGCTCAGTGGTAGAACACATGCTTAGCATGTACAAGGTCCTGGGTTTAATCCCCAGTACCTCCATTAACAAAAATACATCTTGTGAGGTTGAACTTTAAGTAATTGGAGCTATTGCTTTATTCCCATTACTTAAATACATTTTTTACAATATTAAATGTGTGTAACCAGCATTCCCATTCACAGAAATCCCCCTAACAAGAACCAAAAGCATTTTAAAGTGATATGGCTTTACTACAATTACCTTTATTGTTTGTTACTAAGAGGGACAGAGACACAAATAATGTAGGCCCCTGGCCACCAGGTGGTGTGAACACCCTGCAGCCTTACCACAAGGAGAGAGTGATCAGATCTGGAAAAGGCAGTACTAACATCAGAGCATCCGGGAGGAAAGAGACCCCAAAGATGAAACTGGGACCTGCTGGCTCTCACCAGAGACCTATTGAAGGAGCCATATTCAGAAAAGGAGGGAAAGATGAACTGGGGAAAGGCACGTACTGAGCGTGACACTATGGACTAAAAATAGCATTTCCCGTGAGTTCCTGGAGGGAAGGGGGAAGGTATAAAAATAAGGACAGAGAAAGGGCTGGGAAGTGGGGAAAGGATTTATCATCAACTATAAAGACTCTATAAAAACAAAGGCACCTGACAAAGGACTAAATGTTTTATACCTTTATCTACAATATGTATATATACATATGTGTATATACATATATATATATGAACCCAAGAGATACAAGTTTATGAGGGTGTAAATGCTGTAAATGAGGGTGTAAATGTTTAAAGAATTCAGCGTATCCTACAGTTCATCTGACCCTCGCTGGTCACCCTGGCCCATACAGCCAGCCTTGTTTAATCTACCCAGTGAAGTAGAGGTGTGGTCTCAAGACCTGGACATTAAGACTCATGAGAGAGGCATTAGGTCTTTCCCCAATCCAGGCAATTTACTCCCTTTAAAACTCAGTTTGCTATTATATTA